GGGATTGATCCACGGCTGACTGACTGCCAAAAGATCTCGAGAGACTCGCTGCAAAGGGAAGCATGATCGCTGCGTGTGACCCTCGGACCTCCGAACCTTCCCCGCGCTGTGATTTTGAGGAAAGAAGTTAGTACAACAAGAACGACAGCAACGAACGACGTCCAGCTTCCCAAAGGAGGCCCCAAAGACCCATCTGAGCCATGGCAAGCACATCATATACCAACTCTGGGTACGACGACAGCAAGCGTCCCTTTTCGATGAGCAGTCTGCGCGGGACTCCATCCTCCCCCCATACCCCACAACATAACCTGCGATCCAACAACTCCTCCTTCGCCAGCACAACCTCGAGCACTTCATTCCGCGGCGAAGAAGATGCCATCATCTTTGAGCTTGGCTCCCGCTGGCTCCGGGCTGGCTTTGAGGGGGAGAGCGTGCCGATGTGTGTGGTAGGCTGCGGCCCCGAAGAATGCCGCCGCGTGGGCGACTACCGCGGCTGGTTGAAGACGAACAACCCAGATACCGACCCGGCACAGTCGCGCCCGCTTGTCAACCCGGAAGACTGGGCGAGCGCCTACGAGCTCTGGAAGATGGATCTCCGGGGGGTAGACCTGGGCCTTGTGGAGGACAAGATCGAGCGGGTGTTCCGAGAGACCTACAACAAATACCTGTTGACGGACGCGGGCACGTCGCGACTGGTGCTGGTGCTCCCCGCCATCATGCCGCACCCGTTGCTGTCGGCCTTGCTGTCGACGCTTTTCAGTCGGTGGCGGTTCCCGAGCATCACGTTGTTGACTAGTGCTACGATGGCGGCGACCGCGGCCGGGGTGCGCTCCGCCTTGGTGGTGGATATCGGTTGGGCGGAGACGGTGGTCACGGGGGTGTATGAGTATCGCGAGATCGCAATTGAGCGGAGCACACGGGCCATGAAAGCCCTGCTGCAGGAGACGGGTCGGTTGCTTACAAGTATCCCAACGGCGCGTGGGGTTAGATCGCAGCCAGCACCGGGCGACAGTGGAATCTCCGCCCGGTTCGAGTTCTGCGAAGAAGTTGCCAGTAAATTCCTATGGTGCAGACCCCGGGAGGGACCCTCACCAGCAGATTTGCAGCAGCAGCAGCAACCACAACCCGACGACAGCGAAACCGAGCCCACCACACACCATCCCCCTCTCTCCTCCCTCCTGCAGCGGACAGTGGAAATCCCGTCCCCCTCGAACCCAGGATCTACCTACATCAATCTCCCCTTCTCCGCCTTCAGCGAACCCGTCGAAAGCGTCCTCTTTGCTGCTGGCACAGCAGACTGCGAGCTCGACGACGAAGAAAAGCCTCTCCCGCTCCTGATCTATAATGCCCTACTTACCCTGCCGCCCGACGCCCGCGGCACCTGCATGTCACGCATCATCTTCACCGGCGGCGGCGCCAACATCCCCGGCATCCGCCAGCGAATCCTTGCGGATGTTGCAGCGCTTGTCGCCGAACACGGCTGGTCGCCCGTCCGCGGCAAAGTGATCGAACAACAACGACGCAAGCTTGCCAGCCTCCGAATCTCCCCTTCGTCCCAAGTCCAAGCTTCCGCTCAAGATCCGGCATCTCCTCATCTTACAACAGACCCCAGCGAGGACAACCGTCCTGCCCCGTCGAACAACACACCGACGGAGACGAAGTCTCTCGAACCATCAACCCACCAACCAGAACCAAACCCCGAGTCAGCCACAGAGAACCCCAAGCTGCGGCAGCAGCAACAAACCCCGGAAGACCCCAAACCCGAGGACGAAGCGGACCTCGAAGACCCCATCGAGCAGAAAATCCGGCGGAACAACCGCGACCGGGACCGCGACGCGCTGCCGCCGTCCGTGCAGGGGGTGCTGCGCGAGGTTGAGTCGCTGGGCCCCTGGGCCGGGGCGAGCCTGACCACCAGCCTCAAGATTCGGGGCCTGGTGGAGATCGAGCGCGAGAAGTACCTCCAGCATGGTCTGGCCGGGGCGACGACTCGCGAGTTCGAGATCCATGGGCACCACGTCCCCGACCGACGGTCGGGGTTGAGGGCTGGAGGCGGCGGGGATCGGTCGAGTTGGACGCTGGCGGGGTGGGGGTAGACTTTGTTTCTTGCAATTACAGTACAAGCGTTGTTCCTCGTTTGCGTTAGATTTCTTAGCACTGACTGCATTTTGTATACCCATTTATTTTCTTTGACGGTTCTGAGTACTCCATTGATTAGATTTGAGCGGTGCCTTTAATCTTTGAGTAGGGGATTTATCTCTTTGAGTGGGAAAATGAGGTCGATGAGTTAAGAGGGCTCAGGGATGAGTAACTTATTGCAACCTAAGGTGACTAGTTAGACCTAATGGTCCCTGAGATCATGTTATGTACATAGTTGCAGAGATTCTACATCGGAAAGATAGTTTCGAGAGCCAAGGGGGTACGACCAAGTGTCATAGAGATATGCCTCGAGAAGATTGTTCTTTTTGCGTCGCTAAAAGAGGAGATTCAAGCAATCAAGCAAAGTTTGTTTCCGCAAGCCCCCGCAGCAGCAGCAGCAGCAGCAGCAGCCTAGACGGTGCCGAATCGGTAGGTGGCATAGTTGACGGCCGGGCCGGTCTCAGGCGAGTAGATCTGATCCGACAGCTGGCCCCACTCCGGGTTGTTGATGCCGTCGATCCAGCCCTCCGTCTCGATCACCAGACAGCCGTACTTGTTGACGTACTCGGCGCCGTCGATGCCCTCTTCCTTGTTGAGCTTGATCTGCGAGTCCTTGATGGGGATGGTGCCGTTCTGGCCGTTGCAGGAGTAGATCTGCAAGGCTTGCTGGTTGGTGGCGACCTCCAGGCTGATGCCGGTGGTGCTGGAGTTCAGGCGGACGATGGGCACGATGGAGTTGGAGGCCGTGTATTGTGTAGGGCGATCGACAATGAAGCAGTTGTCGTAGCCGGTGCAGTTGGAGCCGCAGAGGTGCACGGCCTCGTCGATATCCTTACCGACCAGTTTGCCGGCAGTGAAGTCCGCAGAGCCATTGTAGGCGGTGCTGACATCCAGGATGCTGCCGTCAGGAATCAAAATCCCGTCGGTGCCGATGAGGCGCTTGGATAGGGGCAATTGCAGCCAGGTGTCGTCGAGGATGGTCTCGTTCTTGAAGGCATTCAGATTCCAGTAGATGTGGTTGGCAAGCATGATAGGGGTGGTTTCCGTCAGAGCCAGAGCGACCAGTTTGGTGGTCAATTGGGGCAAGCCCTCTGGGTTCTCATTGGTGGCCTCGGTCTGGACACTGAACGTGGCATGGGTGATCACATCACCCGGGAAATCCTCAAAGGCACGGTCAACCAGGGTGAAGGTGATGGACGAGTTGGAGTACGCGGTGACGGTCCAGTTGCGGCCATCATAGCCCAATGGGCCTCCGTGGAGGGTGTCTTTGCCGCCATTTTCGTTCTCAGGAATATGATATTCCTCGGTGCTAATTGAGAAGGTGCCGTTCTTGATGCGGTTGGCGTACCGGCCGACAACGGCCCCAAAGAAAGTGCGGTTGGTCTCCGTGTCTTGAAGGTACCGCTTTGGATCATCGTAGCCTACAACCACGTCTTGGAAATTCCCGTTGCGGTCTGGGACCTTGAGAGATGTCAACCGTGCACCGTAGGGGATCAGAGTTGCAGTGATGTTCTTTGCGCTAATGGTGTAGGCCTTGAAAGGGTCCGTCGCTACTGCTACTGCAGCCTGGGACAGTACAGGCAGCCCATAGAGGGCGGTGGAAAGATAGCTCTTGAGATGCATTCTGATTCCGAGTAGTGTGGTGACCGCAAGGCACAGGCAGCAGTACAGGAATAGAATCCGGGGAGTGATGCGGGCAGGGCAGAGGGTGGAACGGAAACAACCGAGCAGCTGGGGAATTCCCTGGCGGTTTGTGGAGGAAGGTCCCATCGTTCTATTTAACTACTCCACATTAGGGCTCTTCTACCTCATGATGGCGCGCCTGACCGCCGGCGGAGGGGGCGGGGGTGACAGCAGCACGCAGGAACTGGGGTAGGAATGCCGCTACTGGTACTCATGGTTAGCTCATGTTGTCAATTGTCCGACGGGGGGGGGGGGGAAGGCATCGTCATCTTACCCGCAAATTGGGGACGGTGTGGAAGTCAAGCTGTCAGGGGGACAGATGCCAAGTATGTGGATAGCTAATCAAGCTACACCTGGGGGGGTTGGGGATTGGGAGCAAGGGTGACGGGAAAAGTTAGTCCGCGTCTGACCACCTTAGCTCCAGATCTAGAGATGACGTGAAAGCTCGGGATGTAAAGTGAGGGGAAAGCGGGACAGGAAGGAGAAAAGTTGGGGAATTGATAGAGAACAGGGATGGTGACAGTAGTCTAGGCAGTAGGCAACTTAGTGTAGGTTGTAGTTAGGATGAAGCCACGGGAATGGAGCAAATCAGCCTAAGGAACAAACAGAAAAAGGGGGTCCAAGCCATGGGGTGGTGCACTAGTCCGGTTCGGGCATACTCCGGTGGGGGAGTTGGTTTGCGGGGAAATGGCAAGCGTCCCGTCGATCATCTAAGCTTGCAGTGCCAGACTGCCAGTGCTTACATGTACCGCACTCCCTCCTGTACGGAGTACTCTGCCACTTGTCTGCTCTCCAGGCTATATTACGTTGACAAGCTTCGGTGCAGTGCCGACTGCCGAGCTGGGCACTGGGCACTGAGCACTGGTCGGTGACTGTAAAACCAGTATACTGGTCAAGCCATGGCATGAAGTCGCATGGGCTTGAGCTCACCTGTAAGGGATTGGGGTTTACTCCCAATGAGTAGAATGAAATCCTGGTTATAGCAAACTAAGGTATAAGGAGCGGTGTCTGCGTCAATTGACAGTCCGCCAGATTGCCGGGTGAGAAGCTATTTGTAACCTGAGGCATCAGCATGGAAGGGAACAACCTACCGCCCGCTTACTTAACGCCCAGTTCCTCAGGCCTCTCCAACTCCGCCCTGCCTGATCGGGAGACTTGTTTATGTTATGCGTCGATAAGCACGCAAATTCCTCCCTTTCCCCGCCCTTAGATCTACTATTGAGTCTATTCTGGACTGTGAGAATACACCTTCGGACTCCTTCTTGTTGAATTTCCCCCGAAATGTCGACCGCTATATAGCGCCCGACCGTGGTGTAACCTCTCTTTCAATGAGACGCGACGGGCGCACTTGAAAGTCGCCCCTCCCATGGTCTACGAGTTGCGTTCATAACCCGATATGTCCTCTCGCACCTCGAGTCCCTCCTCTCCCGACATTCTTGGGCCATCTGGCGATAATGATTATCTAATCTCCTCGCCCTTCAAACCGTTCACTGGCCGTCAGAGCTTCATGTCGCCAGCTGACTTTGACCTCCTCCAGAGTCCGCGAACGACGAAACGGCAGAAGCGGTCGCGGCTCAACCTCACACCTGGCGCCCATTCTTTCGAGTTCAACGATGTCGTCCTTCCCGCTTCGCCCAACCTCAAACTGAATGGAAAACAACAAGCTTTGTCTCCCGATAAACTCCAGTCCGACGGGAATGTCAGTCCGTGGAGGATTCGTGTGACTTTGGAAGCGACGCAAGACCAAGAGAACAGCAACGATTACGGAAGTCCCACGCCAAAACGTCTTCGGCCATCGACCATGGTCACAAAAATACCACTCAAGGACGAGTCCGAGCAGACACCGCGTCGACGTAGAGGCCGTCCAAGGAAGTCCGATACACTACTACTCGATGTGATACCGGCCGCAGGCAGCCCTGGTCATACCCCAGGGCCACCCGGGTCTGCGCAGAAGCGAAAACGCGGTCGACCGAGGAAGACCCCGCTGAAGGTGGACGCGGTCACGCGACGCGAGCGGGATATAGGGACACTAGACATTGATATGGATACTCCGACCGCTGAGTCTCGATCGCGATGGACCTCTCTGAACCTTGCTGGGGACGCTGGGTCGGATGAGGACGATGGTGACGAAGAGATGGTCGATATCTTTGACGACGAACTCTCACCGGAGCAATCTGCGGTGGTCAATCACGATAGCACTACTCCACGGGTGACATTCGAGCCCACATACGACACCCCACAAGTTGACCATCTAGACAACGAAGAATACAACTTGAACTCCACCCCGTCGAAGATGCCGTCTCCCGTACGCGAATCGCAATCAAGCTCGTCTAAAAGCACGTTGCATGCCGGTCATACACCCAGACCGCTGCGCCTATACCCTACCCCAACGACATCTTCGCCGGTCGCGGGAGAGGAAACAGTGTCGCATTCCCAACGAACAGCTGCATCTAGCGGCAATCGCCGTCCCCGTGCATCATACGGCAGGAGCGATCCGACGGACGAGCATAAGGAGTTCGACTCGATCATGGAAAGTGAAGGCTTCAGTATGGTCTCCCTGGATACTCTTCCCTCAGCCAAGCAACATGGCCTCGGGGGCGATAGCAATTCGAAGATCGCCAAGAATGCTCTCAAGCCGTTCCTGAAGCGAGAATCAAACGGCGTCCTCAGGCGGAGAATATCACTCGACCCTGAAATCCATGACGGCAGTAAACCCGTCTCTCACGCAGAGATAGAGACAACACCGGATGAACACATAGAAGACCACCCTCGCATGCGCATCGCGCGCTCCATCGAATCTAGTACCTCACTACAACAAGCATCAGGTGGTAGATCAGCCTCCACAAGACGCATCCGCTCTTCTTCTGCCGTTCCGGCATTGCGTCCAGTCCAACAAGGCCAAAAGCCATTACTCAGACTTGTCCGCATTGTACGCGCCGGTATCGCGTTACAGGGTCCTCTTACAGAATTGAAGGAGGGGAAGCAACGAACCTCGCAGTATTCAGATTCCGCTTTAACCGCAAACCGACAGCGTCTGCAACTTCTTTTCCAGGATTTGAACCCCCAGTCCCAACAAGTACTGCAGGCAGGCTTGGCCTTTGGACAGCAACTTGCGAAGCAGAGACAAGTGGAACTAGAAAAATACCAGCAGTCGCTGGCCGCGGACGCCAAGACCAATGCGAGAACTATATTACGCAGCAGAGAAGCCAGTTCTTCTAATTCACCTCAGCCGGCGCTGAGTGCGGCAGATTTTGATACTCCCGGTTCAGTCATGAGGCGACGGATGGAGGAGTGGCAACGTGAGAGGGAGGCCATCAGTCGGGAAATTCAGATGGCGAATTCTAGTCAAGTCATTGTCATCGACAGCGACGGGAGTGATCAATCAGATATCCCAGCCGAACAAGACGAAGAGTGGAACGAGGATGACGGCTTCGATGATGAACCCGACGAGGCACCCAGCCAGGATGGGTACGTAGAGGCAGAACAGGCGAACGAGGAAGATGACGACGAGGGCTATGAAGACATCTGGCAGCAGGAGGCAATGGAGCAAGGCAACCAATCACATCGCGTGTCTATGCTTGACAATGATAAGAATGACCTGCGCCCTAGACAGGATGAGTCAAGCCCATGGAAAACTGGCTGGACCCCAGCCCGCAGTCAGACGGGGCGACTATACTCTCCGGCTCACTGGACCAAGGAGCAGGACACAGTGCCATTTCTCGGTCGTTCGCGGGTCAAGCAGTTGCGCGAGGAAAATGTTGACCTCACAAATTTGTACCAAGGAGATCCTACCCCGAAGCGTCGCCGTTACTACTATGGAGAAGGTAGTCCTTCGAGTAATGCGAGCCAATCACAGTCTGAAGGTGGTTCACCATCAAACCAAGCATCTCACGGGCAAGGCGTCCACGAACATGCGTCTGAACATGATCGGCTGTCAGAGCACTCGATCGAGCTGAGCTCGCACAGTGACTTGGAAGAAGGGACGTTTCAGATAGATCCCACCACTAGATTGGAGATGGCCAGGCAGAATAGTGGACGAGAGATTATGAGAGACGATGTTGAAAGTCTTGCCGATGCCGCTGCAGCCGAGGAACAATACTTTCAAGCTGCAACTGACAACACCCCCAATCCTCCACGACGAGCCAGCCCGGACAACCAAGCATCATCCTGGTTTCAGAAAATCACTAGCTTGACACCTGGATGGCTCAAAGCGCCCAAGTCTTTCCGGCCAGCTTCCCAACGGGAGGAAAACTCAGTTGTATACGAGGATGAAGCAGTAACCACGGCAAAATCAAGACATGCTCGTGATGAGTTTGACTCGGAACGCTTGGAAGGCATCCCGGGACCATCGTCTCACTTTGCAGAGCCAGGAGACGAGCAACAAATATCTCCTGTTCGCAGATCTTATGAATCACTGGGCGATACGCGGGACCCTTTTTACGAGGAAGTGAGGGAGATGAGGCATAAGCGGCAACCCGCTCGTTACTCCGAGCACTTTTCCAACGATCACTACCGCCTGTTGCATAACCTCTATCGCTTTTCCAAGAAGCACCCTGAGCGCTTCCCTTATTATCCGGCTCCTGGCCGGACCGAGATTATTGGAGATTGGATCTGGACTTCAGACGGGGTCTTTGGAGTCCCAGTCACGGAGGATCAATTTGCGATCATCGACAGGTTCGCACAGCAGGTCTCTCGTGACGACATCAGGGCCGGCGGTACAGGGCAGATTACTTGGACGGAGGCCGACTTGCATAGAAGATTGATCAGCATTATCATAGGCGAACAGATCAGAAAGGAACGGCGACCCATGCGCTACAGGGGTCATCCGGGGATAGGCAACTCTCGAAGCAGGGACACAGTCTATGAGACGTGGCGCAGATAAAGGCCCAGAGTTGCAGGTCGCTTGGTCACTGACGTGCAAATCCCGATACACAGATTTTATGGAACTCAAGACTCCGCTGGCACATTAGCTAGCGTACGCTGCACTGACTTCTATTCTTGTTGCATATGATCGGGTCGTTACGGAGTGGCAAAGCAGCGACCGGATTTTCTTGGGTTCGCATTGAGTTGGCACGCTGACTTTTCCATCCTTGACTTTTTTTTGGTGCTGTTTTTGTATAGCACGTACTTTGTACATGTACTATACCCCCTTTGCTTGTTTGGGTTCTTTTTTCTTACGTTGGGCTTATGAGATTGGCCGCGGACGAGTCAGCTGCCAGAGAATTCTTGCTTCTTATTACAAATTGGGTTGAATTACTGTGCCATCATTGGTGTAGGGGATTTGACTTTTCGCGTCGCAGCGTGTCTTCCAACCTGCGTTGAAGACCATGTTCTGTTTGTCGACTTACCTTGCGAATACCATGTATAGGAAGGGAAAAAGCCCAAGTATGTACTCCGTACATTTGACAAATTCTTCGCGCGGAAGGTGATTCTGCCGAGTCGATTGTTTGCCTTGCAACGTTTACCTTCCTTTCTTCTGAGCATTTCCATGCTGTTCCCCGATGGAGTCAGTGTGTGTACCACCCAAGGCCGGACCATGTGCCACGTTTCCTTGCTCCCCAAGATGCAGTCATTGAGGTGACACAAGGACTCGTAGGGTCGATGACATGCCTGACCAGTCCCACTGGGTCTGTGATTGGATGCAGTTATTGTAGTTTCGACTGCGCTTCTGCAGGCATAATGATGGGTGCCAGCCAAGCACAAAGAGACGAGACACACGAGTTCTAGCCCCATTGATTTTCCTCTCTTCAAGGCCTGAAATGGGGGTTGTGCGTGTATGTCTCTCTTATGGCGCCTAATTGAGAAAATTGCGGGTCCCTTCTCTTTGATTCTGTTGAGATGCTGCAAAATATGATGTCCCGTTCAGTCGGGGGAATCCTGAGGGTTGAGCCAGCCGCGGGTGGGCGTTGAATCTGATATATAAGAAAGGGGTTTCCAGACGAGGGAGAGAATGGGAAGAGGAAGTGATTCATATCTCGGTGCAGACACAAGACCAGACCCAAGTCACACGCGAGACATCTGAATCAGGACACGAGGGTTCCTTGCAGAAGTACCTCAGGCTCACTTTGTTTCCCTGTTCCCTCTCTGTTGCTCTCCCAGGACCCTGGGCAAGCAAATCCACCGTTCACCGTGGCCCGACAAACGAGACGCACACGAGACGCACGCCCCCAGGCAGGGAACGTCATCAGTCTCCTCCCCACTGCTCCACTGCTCTTTGTCCTTCTCCTCTTCTTTCTTCAGGTCATCTTCTTCGTCGACTGTGCTTATATAGTCCACAAGATGGGGGTCAGCAACCCTGTCAAATACGTCCTAGGCCTGTCCCTTTTCACCAAACGCCCGGACCAGCGGTCTCCAACGGCAGCGGTGTGGAAGGGGAAGGCCATCGACTATCATGGGCAGCATGGGCATCATCATCAGGAGATCCGCTGGGGCGGTGCCGTGCAGGGACCAGATGACGATGAAGAGTTTGTCGCTGCAGCTGTGCACATGGCGGTGAGCGAATCCGACGGCAGCAGATGCAGCGGAAGCAGTAGCCGGAACAGTAGCGACAGCAGCGGCAGCAACAGCAGCACCAGCAACCCTCACAGACACCATTATGGAGTCGTGCGCGTCGTGAGCTGGGCCAGTCTCGTTGGAGAGCGATGTCGCTGGACGATGAGGCAGGAACGAGAATTGGCGATTGCCGAACATGAGTTGGCTCGTTGCCAGAAGGCCTGGAGTTCGGAGCAGGAGTTATGGCTGACTCAGGTGAGTGTCTTCAACTGATTATAGTTTCCTGATTCTTCTGCTCTTCTTCTTTGCCCGATGGTTCCATTTCTCCATCTATACCGAGCCAAGCGCTGGAAAATAAACCACAGCCCCATCTCGCTTCAAGAACGGTTGGTATCTGAATACAAATTAACCAGTCATCAGATTAAGGCTCTGCACGAGGAAAAAGAAGCCCACGAAGAGTTCCTCCATCACCGCGCAAAGCAGCAGGACGAGGAACAGCAGCATTTTCGCAAATCGTGGAATCGTCGTCGGTCCCATGAGGAACCGTCGCAACAACCCACCCAGCCTCACCCACAACCACCGCAACGGATGGCTTCTACGCATCGAGCGAACAGTAAATTGCGACGCGGCATTCGGCGCATGGGATCGTAAGCCATCGAAGCTGTCTTTTTGAACTCTGAACAGGAGAACACACACAAAGGAGGTGAGTTTTCATCATAGCTCGGGCTGGCGCGTGCTTCCCCTCCCCCCGAATAAACATGAAACGATGATCCATTTCTGACAGGTCTAGTCTGATAGGCTAAAATTCTGGAAGCCGAACAGAAAAAGGGAAGCAAAAAAGCAAAAGGGTTAAAAAAAAACTTACGACATGTGACGAACGCTTCGTTCCTAATATAATTGCGATCAGCCCTGCAGGATCCATCCCTCCTTTCCTGGATGAAAAGGGGGGGGAACGATTGAAAGTGTCGGGATTTTCACTTCGATGCATGATTTGACTAGCTTGGAGACATCAGTGGCGATTCTTGCTCCTTCCTTACTCTCTCTTTGATTTGACTTTTCTTTCTTTCCTTCTTTGGGGGGGGGGGGTGTTTGTATCTGCATCGCCATGGATGGTGAAGCAGTCAGCCCAAGCCCTCTGCACATACAATTGTATTCTCGACCCGCGCCTCCAGTGGAGGAAAGGGAATCATCAGACGACCTTGATCGTCTGAGAACTATTTTCTGTCTGGAACAGTGAAAAGGAAAGGGGGAAGAGGGGAAAGAGAGCAAAAAAGCACCCGCGAGAATTTTCTTTGCATACTATTTACTTCAAGCACTCTCTTGTGCCTATCATGGATGTACTACGTATCCTACTGTATCTTTTTTTTTTTTCTTTCTTTCTGCATCTGCATTTCTTGTCGTCGCATGAAGGAAAGAGACGATCTCAGGTTGCACTGCATCATTTGTCAAAATCCGATCGATCTTGGTCTGTCTGAGCTAGTAGTCACATTTCCGCCCGAGATCTCTCGAAAAACATTTTTTTGCCCCTTTGTTCAGAAAGCAAACCGCAGACAGACCGATCGCGTGGCTGCCACAACCGCGCGCCTTCTGAGCATGGGCTTCATCCCGGAGCCGGAGTAGTTGCAGACGGGGTGTGTACAGTAAGGCGACAAGTTTGCTTCCCACAATGGGTAATTGTGAGTGAACATACTGAGTAAATGATCAAGGCATGCAATCATTCCCCAAGATTGTCTTGGGGGTGTCAGTCTGCAGGCACAGAACAGAGCCCTTCCGATGCCTCGCTTGATTCTAGACCTGCCACTCGAAGAAAGTTCCCGGAATTCGAGGGCGGAGCTGCCCCGGCGGACCGGCGAGGACCGATCACGCTCTGAAGATAAGGGACTGGTATACTGCACATAGTCTCCGTGCTACGATCAAAAAGTTGGAAAGAAGAACAGCGCGTAGTAATCAATTAATAGTTAGGCAACTCAACTAGTGCTGACCGGTAGCAGCATACCAAACGGAGGGTCTGGTACAGTACTTTTGTGAGCCACCCGACTAGTGGTACATAGACCCATTGTACGGAGTAGAGCCTGGAGATAAGGTGGACCACTATGCCTACCCCAAAGCCCAAACCTTCTCCAGGCCTGGATCTTCGCGCAAGGACCACACGCCCACTTCACCTGAGACGTGATCTTGTGAACGGGGAATAGCAGTGGTTTGATATTTGTTTCGGGAGGGTGGCATGTTGGTGCACCATTCAGCCTCGCCGACATCTACTGTACTGCACATCTCAATTGTAGAAGAGCTCTATGGATCCGTCAAATCCCGGGCTTATGTCCCCTGGTCCGTGATGGCTGAGGGGGTAAGAACCCAAAGTAGGCAGGGCTTATCAAGGTCTCATTCTGACTAATGGGCGCATTTTCATGAATAAAGTCGGCTGTCAGAGGCCGGGGTTGACGGCAGAGCTGATAAGCAATGTATCTCGGGTGACGAATGGGCGGTGCTGATAACAAGAATCCCTGGATAGCGGAAAGTTTGGCGATTGTTAAGATTCGAATGTTTGAAGTATTCCGTAGCCTTCTCTTCAATGGGTTGCTATTTTGCCTTTTTTTTTTTTTTTTTTTTTTTTTTTTGGGGGGGGGGGTCTCAAATAAACCACTTGTTTGCGTATTGTGGCGCTTGTTGGTTCCTCGGGACCTGGTGGTTATCATAGGCTGACCGAGAGAGTCCCAGGATGAGTAGTGTGTGCCACGCTTCTGCCACAATTCTTCATGCTGGAAATCACTTGTGTGTCCCTTCACGAATTACCGACTCTCTGCAGGACGCCCATCTGAGACCTTTTCTGGATCCTTTGCGCCACGCCACGTTTCTTGTTCCGGCATAGGGAGCAAGCCTAGCGATCGATAGACAGACGCGCAACCCTTGCTGGCTCTTCTTTTCGGGGGATTTTTGTTTGCGTAGAGGGATTGACAGACGAATCCCGGTGATGATACATCACAATGGAATTGTTACTGGTCGAATCGACATGTATATAGCTACATGGTTAGGAAATTAGCAGGATTCAGCAGTGAGGCAGCTTGTAGTCCACGCAGTCAATCATTTGAATCATGTGAATCATGTGAAGAATAGGCAAGATGGGAAAGATGACCGTGTTGGGACTAGCGCTGGTTATCCATTGATTCTCGAAGGTCTTTCTCCTTCTCCGGCTTCTCCTTATCCTCCTCCCCGTCCCCATATCGTTGCCTTATCGACATCGCCTTCGGAGATACGGACAAGACGAGTAAGCCCACCCGATGAGAGAACAATTATCATGCCCTGCCATGCTATGCCATACTGATATCCACGCATCCACGCAGCGAGCCGAGTTCTATCGTCATACCGGCCCGGTTCGTGACTTGACTCGCACCCAAACTTTGTCATTGTATACCGGCTATCTGAGCCTCGCATCCTTTCCCCACTCATAGACGGATACTCCGTACAACGAACGACCTAGGTTCTTTGTACCGAGTATGAACCGTTGCCGCACTGGTGGCCCTCCTAGTGCCTTGGCCAGCCATCGTCCTTCGACACTACTGACTGCAGTGCTTGTTTCTCATTGCACTGGTGGTCATAGCGGCTTCGAGCATAGACCAACTCCAGTGCCAGTCACATGGCATCATTATCACCAGCATCCAGGTTACAGTGCAGCAGGAGCCCCGGTTCGCACTACCCCCTGTGAACATTGGCTGGTAGATGAGAGCGAGGACCCCCTCCTTCTACTCCTCTTTCATTCTTCTACCTCCTATGATCATTATGACTATTGATTGGAGCCTTCCAATAATGGCGTGGGGAGTCCCCCTTGCTGTTTGATAAGCCTCGTGTCCACCAGTAGGTTACCCATCCGTCCCCCGCCGACTATATCCCCCGATATCTAAGCCTATTAAGTTTGATGTTTATTACCATTTTCAATGGCAATTTATTTATTTTTTATTCTATCTTTTCATCTTTTTGGGGTTGTCGTTGCACGCCTCTTGATCAAATATCTCATCTTGCTTTTCTCTCTCTCTCCCTTGATCTTCATTTTCCTGGTTTGTTCATTGCCCGAACGCCTTCATGGCAGCCACTTACAGATACCTGCATTGAGACATGTTCGTCCTGCATGGTCGCCGGAAATAGTATCCTTGTCACGCTCCCCTTTTCTCCTCCTCATCTCCAAGTGGTTATATTAGATGTCCGCCCCCGCCTGTGGGGAAGCTTCGTCCTCCCACGACGACCCGGATCGCCATGAGTCCGAAATGTCAGCCCCCGTCACCTCACTTTGGTGGCCCGAGGATCGGGTGAAAGCAACCCTCTGCCCGGAATACGTCTTCGGCCAGCTCCCTTCAAATGTCCTGCACCGTCTAGTGGCCCCGCTGCCTTGGGGAGAGGGCCTGACGAGCGAATCCTATCTCGACTGGATCATCGCCAAGGCCGGCAGGCTCTTTCTCATTCTTGTCGACATCGACATACCCGATCGAATTTTCGCGTTGATAGACGAGTCTCTGGATGACTCGGATTTACCGTTCTCGGCCCCCAGTGTTAAGCGTCTGCCTCTCTTTGCCGACGGCCCGAACCCCGACCTCGAACACAGGTTCTTCCTGGCTCAATGGCGCTTCATTGTACGCGGAATTGCAGCCGGCGACCATGTGAAATACACTCAGAACGAAGGCGTTCCTGTGGAGCTCCTCCGTACGGGAACATCGCTGGTAAGAGAGGGTGTCGAAAAGGTGGTTTTAGCCGGCGCGGCGTGCCGTATACTCCTGCGAACGCAAGTCACTGTCGGCGGAGCACCACACTTCTTTGAGGAGGATGAGGTACTGGAGGAGATCCGTTCCTTGAGGAGGCTGGCCCATGACCACGTTTATTCGATCTATGCATCCTACTTTGTGGATAACACGGTCTGCATTCTGTTCTCCGGAGTATACGAACGCACCTTGATGTCTTTCCTCACTGACGTGCCTCAACCATTCAAACGGCTTTCGAAAAATAAGCGGCGGGAGATATTAGTCAATTGGCCGCATTGCTTGGCCGATGGGTTGTCTTGGCTGCATGCACATAGCCATGCACATAGCGTCATCCGTCCGTCGAACATACTGGTCGATGCTGAATTCCGAGTCTATCTAGGTCAATTCGAGGCGCTAGATACCTTGCTGTCGCCGGCCAAGATGGATGACGTCGAGTCGTATCAGTACGGCTCCCCAGAGCGCTGGGTGCGCTCGGTCAGTGTCCAGAACACTGACATAACGAGACCATCAGTTAGTCTTCCATCTGGGAGCCGTTCAGCGCGGAAGCAGTCGGCCTCGTCAACTGCACGCCCGTCCTTCCTAAGCCTGTCTCGACTCCGAAGCTCTCTGCCGTCCGATCACGAGACAGACAGTCCACGTGCAGATTCGGTCACCTCGCAGGGTACTGCCATACGAATTGGCCTGCAAGGATCCTCTTCGTCGCGAGTCTCCTTCACCCAATCGTCCTCTTCCGGATCCAGTACTGGAAGTGTCCGCAAACGCGCCATCGGATCCATCAAACGGCCCATGTTCTATACACCTTCCATCACCTCTTCCAACTCCTCGGGATCTTCTTCCGCATCTTCTGCTATATATCACCCAATCGGTTATCCTATCATAGGCATGAATGCTGCAATAGTCCAGACCTGGCAGACGCGCCAAACGGACCCGGAAGCCTCCGACATCTTCTCCCTCGGGGCTGTGATACTAGATATTTTTACCATTCTCTGCAAGCGCAAGCTCTCCGCCTTTGCTCATCACCGGGGAGCCAAGAATCGGACTGCCGGCCGTGGGGGCGGCGTCGCCGATTGCTCCTTTCACCTGGACCGGAACGCCGGCCAGGTCTGCTCATGGATCACACTCTTGGACAACGACGCCAAGAAACACAAAGACCCCATCTTCCAGGCCGTTCGGCCAATGCTCGATGTTGTTCGAGTTATGCTGAGCAGAGACCCAGCCGAGCGTCCCTCCGCGTTCCAGGTCGAGCAGCTATTCGCGCGCGCGATCCAGAAGTTGGACGCCGCCGGCGCTACTCCGATACACTGTACCTCTAAGCTGCAACACCACGCTCCACGGTCGAAGAACGCCCTGCGCGTCGGCACCAATAAGAATGCTGACCTATCTTCAAATAACCTGATTGTCCCGCGCACCGGACCAGCAGCACCACGGTCACCGTCCTCTTTGATCAGCTCCACAGCAAGCATGGAGTACTCTTCCACCACGACCACGACCACGAGCAACTCCGGAGGCCCCGTGAGTCTGAAGAGCTATCAACCCTCCTCGACCGCCTCCGCATCCAGCTCAAGTCTCCCCGACTGCTACCTGACCGATAGTCATGTCACCGGCGGCAGCGACACCGAACCCGAACAACATGACCGGTACATCAGTTCTAGGACTGCATCCCCATCCCCATCCCCTTGGCTGGACCCCGAGTATGCGTCCGGGCCGTCAATGCACCATGATCCCTCCTGGAACTATAGCATCGCAATGGGGAAAAACTAACCCCCTCCCCCCACCTTTTCGTCATTTCCTTGTGAACATAATTACCAGCAGTGCACATAACTGTACCTCTAATATGCTGAGCACCTAGCTCGTCATCGAGCAGTAATCACCCGAGCCCCCTTCCCTCATCCTCCTTCCCCCGGATCTTCTCGTCAGGATCTCCTTCATCCTATCCTTCAATCATATTTCTACTGATGCGGTGCAGATGTGTACTGAATCTTCCACCCCGTGCTCTAAACCACCCTCAGCATCCCGTCATCATTCAGCCACCATCAGCCAACTGCTCTCTTGCCCCTTCCACACATATTGTACATTCCCTTCTCATACTTCCCTACACAAAGGATTCTCTTCTCTACTTCAGGCTTGATGAGTGACGAAGCATGGTGTGCAGGCGGAGTCTCTCGGCGTGAATTGTGATTGATACCTAATTTTCTTTGACCACTTGGCCTTTCTCTGCTTACCTAGCGGACCGCTTGTACGTATCAAAAATAGTCCAGCTTCCCCTACGGGTGACTGAATCTGTGTAACCACTGTGGATCGCCTATATGGGGACGCTTCCTTTGCTCAAAGTAAATCACATGGGATATTGTATTGATTCGTGATGGTCATCCAGTGACCACCCTTAGCTTCGACTATACCACAATGTATGAAGAGCCAAAGTCAAAGAAAAACAGCGAGGGATCGCGGATAATGTGGGATTGCCTGAATTTTAGTAGAGCAGAACGCCAGGGACACCGGAAGAAGCGATACCCTCTCAAAAGGTTGCGTAACATACATTAGATCACAAGAATCATAACCACAGCGCCAGGCCTCCCACGACCGTGCACAGAGCGAGCGACACCTCGATGGCGCGGTTGAGGCTGCCCTCGCGAAGGATAGCGAAGGAACCTGCCCCGTTGCTGAGCTCGTAGGAGGGGAGGATAGTCTGCGCCGAGGACGCGGGCATGGCGTCGGAGACGTCGATTTCCTTCTGCTGCCGCGGGGGCCTGTCATCATCCTTGGTGGAGGAGTCGCCGCCGGTCACCGCGCCTGTCGGTGCCGCGCGGTGGGATGGTGCCGCTTGGCCTAGGGTCGGCAGCGGCGCGCTGGGGTCGACGGCCCATCCGCCGGCGGTGGAGGCGGGACACGCTGGCGGGGTGATGGTGGAGGTGGAGGCGGCGTAGTCGGATAGAGCGACGCCGGTGGGGTTGAGGGTGGCCCATTGCGCTTTGAGGTTGTCGAAGTCCGGTGCGACGGGGGTGGGTTCGCCCTGGCGGACGAAGCCATCCTGCACGAGGGGCCCGTTCGTAGTGGCCGCGGCGGCGGGAGCGTCCGCGGCCGGAGGCGGTGGAGGAGGGCCGTAGTTCACTAGCCCGTAGTCGTTGGTCTCCTCGATCCACTCGTAGATCATCGAGCCTGACCAGGTGTCCGCCATTTCGGGGCCGAAGATGGCGGCCTGGTCGCCGAAGGTCCGGGGGCGCGCAACATTGCAGCCGGTCTCTGAGAAGAAGATCGGGGCGGGGTAGCCTTCGGCTTGCTTCTGGAGAGACTCGTACCCGGACTGGGTGAAGGTCGACTCCCCACACCATTCGTAGGCGTTCAGGGCGAAGAAGTCCAGTCGCTCTGCGGGGTCCGACCGACAGGCCAGGTAGTTCTGCAGCATGGGCCGCAGCTCTGCGATATCGGCTGCAGAGTAGCCCACTGGAATCGGGCGATATCCCTTCTCGTCGCGGTGGGATTTCATGTCGCGAACGGCGGCTAGCACGTATGGCGCGGCGGCAGAGCCATCCTTGGTGGTGAGGACTTCATTGCCGACGAAAAATCCGGCCGTGTTGTTGTACTGCTGAAATTCATCCAGAACAGCTGCGAACCGGTCATGTTGGGTCTGGTCCCAATGAGGCTCGACCTACACGGTTATTAGTATCACGGCTACAGGATGGTCATGTGACCCGACATGAGGTTCTATAGGTTGGGGACGGACCTGGGAGATCGCTGTATCGAACGTGTCCAGATCCACAAAAAGATAGATGCCTGCATCTTCGAAGGCCTTCATGCAGCCGTCGTGGTCGGCTTCAGGGTCCACATGATAGACGCGGATTGCGTTGGTGCCCAACTCAGCCATGCGGGCCGCATCTCGCGTGCATTGAGCGGTGTCAATCAAGGGATCGTCGGGAACGAGCTGATAGGCGATTCCTAGCGCCAAGGACACTTGCGTTAGTAAGGAGGATCGGTGAAGTGGTATTGGTAGGCCGCGGTGCTGTACCTTTTATATAGTATTGCCTGCCGTCCTCATAGAAGAATTTCGAGCCCACGGCCGAAATAGTCTGAATGGCATGTGCAGCGCGAGGCACTGATGCTGCGAGCAGCATAGAAAGTGTCGCCAGCGACGGTGAGCAGCGTGCCTTCATTCTGTGCGAGTTGAGCTAATGTGCGTCGGCTTATAGCTGAGGGTGCTTCGATGTCGACGTGTGGCGGTCGTTCGTGCAGAATGGATAATGTCGAGCAGATGAATGAGGACAAAGCGATTGTACCTGTCTGACAGACGAGTTCGCAACAGGAGCTTCGTGTGCACGAAGGCGAACGTGTGCTGGACCAGCTACCGGGCTAGTTGTATTCACGGAAGCAGCAGCTGCAAGGGTTCGATAGAAAGTCGAACCGATTCTCCGCGTTATGCAACCCGATTAAGAACAGAACAACTGAAGTCGCTAGAGGCCAGACATGCATCGCATCATGGGATAGAATCAGGTTCTTTAATATGTGATGCCATGCTGCTCAACACCCTCGCGACGCGGTGGCCTGGGAGTTTGAGATGGCTCCCAGCCATACCATGGCACCGTGGATTTCAGGAAGGAGACATGCCTGGCAATGGTATTTCCAGTAGCATGACGTGAGAGAGCATTTGCGCAGGCCTCCTTGAAGCCATTGGTGTCGGGGGATGAGCTGGAATGCAGCGGAATGGCAGACAGGGGGCGGGGATTCAAGGTGGAAGACCGAGGGAGTCGTCAAATGCCTGGAGTTTCAAGCTGCCATACTGGCGACATGAATGTATGCAGGGTTCGCGTTGCAGCGACGTGAACAATGCTTCAGAGGGACTGACTATGCACAATCAACATAGTCTCTGGAAGATAGGAGAGAGAACTGAAATGCGACACTGCAGTCAGTGCAGTGCAGTGCAGTGCCATAACATTATCCTCCCTTCCTAATCGGGTAATTCGGGAGGGAGGAATGAACCGTCGTGGAGGCCTGGTTGTTCAGGCCACGGCAATGGAACGAAACCGGCCTCGTCCGAGGAGCCTCGGAAATGCCCGGAGTGGCAGGCCGGGATCAGGTGAGCTTAGTCATTGACCGATCTCAGACATCCCCGCCAATGGTGTGGCTGCAATGTCTCAATTGTTCCCCCCCACTGCATCCCACTGCATCCCACTGTGATAATTAAAGCGCAATCTACATGTTTCTCCCCTCGAGATTCGATACTCCCCAAACGACTCCCCCGAAAAAGGAGCAGGGGCAAAATCCCCCGGCCCAAAAGACCAAAAAAAGCAGCACCTGTTCGTGTTCTTTTCGATTTGCCTCTCCGATGTCTTGGATCTTGATTCCCGGTGTTGGCGTGTGACGCCATACGTGGACGACTATCGTGATGTGATGGCAGCGGGAATCGTGCCCAACTATCATTAACTATCTCGACTAGTTTGGTGGGCGGCCCAGTCTTTCCCGAGCCAGTTGGCGGCCTTGGACTGAAATTGCCCCCCCTTTTTTATGGACCTTCTATGGGCCGAGTTATTCAGAGTCAAGGCCTGCCCGGGCAGCACGAGGGGCCACTGGGTCTGGACAACGATCGAGACCCTGGCCGATCCATGGCCAGATAATGAGGATCACTGTGCGGACGAGGTCCGTTCCCTCCCTCCCACCTCCCACACAATTCCATTCATTTTTCCGGACCTGGTGGAAGGGCAGGAAGGATGCCAAAAAAATGGCGGCAAAAGCATACAGGTACTATCGGAAGCGGCGAAGGTTGCATACATTGATGCTGCAGACCGGAGTCCGAATATTGAACGGTCACAGGGGTGTAACCGTGTGAGAGATGGCGAGATAAAGGGATTTGGAGCAGTTGAATTGGATCGTCGGGGGCTTGCGTGGATGACGGGGCCTCGCCTGGGTTGGGCTGGTTTTGGCTGGCGTGGGCTGGCTTTGGCGGGCTTTTGGCGGGCTTCAAGGTTCCTTCCCGCATTCGATGCAGTGAGTGGGAATCGCTCGTCACCGTTTCATTTCCTCCTTTTCCTTTTTCATCTAACCCCTCTCCCTCTCCCCGTTTCTCTCCCCTTGTCCGCTGTCAATCGCGCTTATTATAATAATATTCATATTCGCTTTTGTTTCCCTTCTCCCCCCCCCCTCTCCCATCCCCGGACTTTTCTCGTCACTCATCACAGGTCACTGTTGTGGTTTCGCGTGCTTATCAACCTCGCTCCTCCCCTCGAGAAATCAGTCACTCTGCTCTACCATTTCCTCTCCAGTAATTCTTTTTTTGGAACATGCTATCCATGGTTCCTTCCTCCCTTATCATTGCCGTTTCAGGAAAGCTTCTCTGCCTTGTGTGCTTGCCATAATTGCTTGGCCACAGATTAGTTGTGTGCGCACACTGTCTACCTTAGCATAGCACGTCACCTCGATTCATTTACTAGGCGCTTCAGAATTGCCTCTGCCAAACATCCTTCTTAAATCCTACGGCTGTCCCCACATAGTCCACGGGCGACTCAATTAAGAACCATGTCGACTGCCAATACTGTATCGCCGTTTCGCATCTCGCACCAGGACCGCGACAACCTGGATCGCAATGAGGCGTTTCGCATGATGCGAGAACACCTCAGGCGACAGGAATTGGGCATGAAGGCCCCGAGGTATGTGACTGGAAGTGGCTGGTTGTTTTTGGTCGTCCAAGGGCTAATTAGGGCTGATGGTAGCTTTTGCGCCTGCCACCGCAACTCCTGTCTTGCCCAGGAACAAGAGACATTCCGTCTGCATCGCGACATTATCCACACACTGCTCCTTCCCTTGTCTCTTCTGCATCACGAAGCCTCGCGCATCGCCGCCAATGTCCTTCCCAGTCGCAAAGGAGCGGAAGCCGACCGGGCCTTCCGAGGAGAGGCACGGAGTGCCTATGCCTGGTTACACTCGATTTTGACCGAGGAACACGATTGGTACTTGACGGAGCGTTGCCCGGCGTGCATTGTCCTTCATGTGATGAATTCCGAGCCCACCATTCGCTTTATCGCCGTGGCCTGTCTCTTGTCCGACCACTTGCAGGGGACAAAGAGACGGTTGCCGAGCTTCGATTTCTGGCTCCGGTCATTGGAAGCCGCCGTCCGGGAAGATCCCTTCTGGGGCGATGATTTCTGGCCGGATATTGAATACCGCGCGTATGCGCTGACCGATAGTGTCAAGGAGCTGGTATTGCAGTGTCTGGAACTGCAAGCGGCGCTGGATCGGCAAGACCTGCCGCCGTCAATGTCGTACCACGCCGGCTTCCACTGTGACTCGTCACGACCGGCTGTTGTGGCCAAGTCGGCCAACTGCACGCCAGTCACAATTACAATGGGCGACGAACAAAAGCTGATGGCCAAGGTCACCACCGGTCGCGGCATGCAGTCACGTCGGACCGATCGGCCTCAACGTTTCCACACTCGCCGCCACGCGGATGCTCGCAGAAGATCTGTGACGTCTTGAAAGTGCTACCTTGGTATGGTGTGATAATCAAAGTTTCCGACCTTGGGACTTCTTGTTCACGAATACGAGCGATCCACCTATCTTACCACACCCTTCCACCCTTCGAGGCATGGTGGCATGACTCCGTTTCACTCTGTCAAATGGGTCGAAACTGATAAGCTCTGGGTGAAGCATTATTCACATGCAGTTCCATGACTCTGGACAATCTTCGAGTCGAAACTCAGATCTGGAGTGGAACGCGACGACGGGAAGCGAAGTTTTGGCTACCTCCCGATATCTTGCGACCTACTGCTCCTTGAGACTCCACCCGCCGCATTATCACGCAAGGGATCTCTATGTGCACCAGTCCTGCAAGGCTCATATGATGCGCATGGCAGCTATCAAACTGTCGGCCTCTAGCCACGTACGCAAGGAGGTGACCCGCGGAAATGCACTTGTGCGGCGGGTATTCGTCAGCAGAAATGGGCAGGGGCGGTCCAGCCAACAATTGCAGCAAGGCTGTTGCACTACGCATTGCGGTGCAAGCGTCAGGAGCAATGGGCTCCGTTAAGGCGGCCAGGGATTCGAATGAATGTCGAGTTTTATAGCCTACTGGGCAGTCGACTGATGAGTTAACTCTGAGACGCGCGTCGTAACTCAGCTTACTCGGTTTACAGCAGATAGTGAAATACAGACCAATTGCAAATAGTCAGTTTCCAAACTAACCACATGTGTAAACATTCATCTGTAACGGGTCAGTCCGTAGCCCAAGCTACGGACATGCATCAACGGTAAGTCTGACTTGCCTTTGGGGCATTGAGCGACCGAGCTAACCAATGCCACGAGCCTATTCAGACCTTAGGTCTCCAGGCTACTTCGTCTCCAGTACTTCCATATCCTGACCTGATGGCTTGATGCTAAGCACTACATGAGTACATGAGTACATGAAAGACTTCTCTGAATATTCCATGATGTTGTGCGACCGCAGCGCTGGGCTTTGTATTTTTCAGACGGGCCTATCTATTTGTTCTTCATCCCATTGGCAAGCGCAAGGCGTTACGAAACAGGCCCCTTCAACAAGACGTTCTCAGCAGCGCCACAACCCAGACATGGTCAGATTGTCCTTACATCCGGTGATGTTCGATCAGTGGAAATTGTCACTGCCAACAACAGAAGCATCCTTGTTTCAAGGTCGGCTTGAATGGTCACCGACCGCTAGTGGAACTAGGAAAGCGCCCCGGGGCATATCATGGCTCGCTTCCCTGCTGCTGCTGTCTGCCTTCTTGTCTTTAGACTTGGAGCTACTAAGTAGGATTATCCCTGGCCCTGCGTGCATGGGTAAGGTTGTGTATGTTGGGCCAGAGTTTGACCATTACTTTGTTCGGATCCATATCCTGAAATAGCACACGAATTCTCGTTCGAGAGCTCAGGATTGCACTGCCACTGTGCTCCCGATGCCTTCCTACAGTGTTTCGACTACCCTTATGTTGTATATGCACGGCCGTCGATTCTCCACGTATACCTACGGACCTGGACTTGAACGAAAGCAATGCTGCATGATGCCCTTGAGTCATCCTATACCAATGACTCGGCAGTGCTATGAACGTCAACAACCATCTGCAACAACATCCCTCTCTATTCCTGCCCGCTGCAGGCTATTCCTCGTCACCGGCCTCTCTGACAGACTCCTATCTCGCCCAGTCAACATCTGGAGGATTGTCGCCTGAGGTCGGGTACTCGTTGCTACATGCATCACAGATGGCGTGGTTCCCAGGATTCATGAACGGAACGTGGCGTGCGACTTAAATGAGGGAGGGTTGGGGTGGGGTTATACACTCAAGCCATATTCGATGATTTGTGCCCGCCCCCGGACTAGTTCTTGAGATTCAGCAGAAGCTTTCAAGGCGAGCGGATGAGGTTTTGTTCGGTAGCATTGTCCTGAAGCAGTGGCGATGATGGTGATGGTTGGCTGTCGCGGCAATCTGCGCAAAGGCGAAATGGAGTACCTAGTAGTTTGGTAAGGAGGTAGGTAAGGTGCGCCGCCATCCATTCCCCCGGGTCCATCGTATCATTGCCCCCCTTCTCCCCTCCCCCCTCCCCCCTTCCCCCGGGTAGACGCTGGCGTCGGTGCTATGCTGAGCAAGGTTTGAGCTAGAGATCCTGCGGGAGGGGGGGGTCAAGGACATGTGAGGTCCTTCATCGGGCCAAGTTCACGAGAGTTATTTACTTAGTGGTTGATTGCTGAGGGCTGGGCACGGAGGCTGATGCATCAGGCTGAAGGGGTTGTTGCACTTGTATCTGTGCTTGATCTGCGTTGATTATCCATGTGAGGGCTCGAGGACTGTTGTTGTCAAAAATCGTCTCTGCGCTAAGTGCAAAGACCATGCTGTAAGATTGGGGATATTGCTTGAACAGCAGGAACATGATCCTGCAATGGTGTCACACATTAGAAGTAATTGCCGGTCACCTTGCTTTCACACTGAACTGAAGATCATCTGTACTGAGAGCGGATCAGGGTACAACTAGCACCAGATCCAGATACATAGATCCAGCATCAGACTGATATTCTCACCTCAGGTTGTTAATCGCAGTCCTGAAATGACAATAGTATAAAGCAACAAGCCCATTCTCCGACGCCTATATCTCATACGAATCAGAAGTAGTCAAAGCATTGACATCCACTTGAACTGATAATCATTCCGGGGGCAAGTGAAGCCCGGGAGTTGAACAAATATCAAGCATAACGAACCAAAAGCCCGGCAAATGCTGAACCCCAGCTCTCAGACCCTGCCCCAGGGGCACTGAACGACGGCTCCTAACGATAACTAGTTTACTCGCTAGCAAGTCGCAACCTACTAAACCTCAGCTGCATGCAGCCTGGATTGACATGATATCTGTACGGAAATCAAAACTAATCCGACCGAACCGGCAGCCTGGTGGTCCCTTATCCTTGCATTCCCCCAGAAACTACCACCATCAATCAACAGTACTGTAGTCGTCCCAGAGTCCCTACCAACCACTAAGACAAACCCAGAAGTGACCCTTCAACGTCCAGACCACAACCTCCCTCTTTCGTCCGGTGGCGTTTCTCCCAGTCACTCCGGTCTGTCCAGACAAACAATAAAGGAAAGACACCCGAGCGGCCGGGCGTTGGCCAGGCCAGGGGACGGGACCGACTGGGAGAGTGAATACGTACCACGACCAACTCTAAATGAGATGACGGGATAAGAATTAGTGGGTAGGGGGCCGTTTTTAATCTGTTCGGGCGAAAAGGTTTGTCGGGATTCAGGTTGATGAAGAATGATGAATGCGATCGGGAGGGGGATGTTGTATCGACAGTCTGATTGGGAGTTGGGTTCAGAAAGCGATTTTGGGGGTGTGGAGTTGGGATGAGGAATTCCCATCTCCTGATGTACATACAGTACGCAGACATCTGGGATTGTGGGGTAGTCAACTTGTGTCGGGTTGATTAAAGGGTTTTTTTTTTTTTGTTTTTGTGTACCGTGTATAATTAGGTAGTTGGGGGAGGGGTTGTGTGGTTGCGTAGTTGATTTTATCTATGAGCCTATGAGGATTTAGAGTGGGATCATCTGATAACAAGATTAGAGACAGTGGTAGTGATACTGTGTCAGGAGGCTGGAGACTACCACGGGTCAGAATAGATGAAGGTGCACCACATCGCATGGCATTGAGAATGGACTGGACTTTGCTACACGGTACACAGTAAGTGATGATTTGCGGAACCTAGTGAGGCTAGTGTGCACGCATATGTATGTGGCCCCTTTGGTGAATCCCGTGACTTATATATCCATCCTCTAATCATGGGCGGACGCTATCGAGGACCATCAACCTAGACCATGATCAACATGACTTACATAGGACAGTCATACTAGTAGTATGTACCTGGAATGCTGAACAAGAAGATCTAGACTCTCCGGTCACAGACTCAACCCCTTGCCCTTCCTTCCCTTGTCAGTTGTCACTACCAAGGGAAACAGGATTGCGTCGGAGATCTACAAGATAATCTTACTCTCAGCACAGTAGGTACATTAATTTCTGCAAATTGTGGGAAGCGAACAACCTCCCGTATTCGTTCATTGACCTACTACCGGTAGGTAAATAGTTCCATCAAGCAAGTCTACCGAGCACACCGAAACAAGAGGACCAGGTGATACGTGCACACACACACACCCTTGGGTACCTTGAAAGTTGACAGTGGACCAAGTTGATGACAGGACTTGACTTGACGGTGTCAGGTCAGTGCCAGTGCCGCCCCGTCAACCGCACAGTTGGGAAGTGCAATCTCCCTGACCCAACCCATCGCGATGTGGTGGGGAAAATCTATCCGTCATGGATTCTGTTTCCTGTGGTTTGTGGTCTGAGGTGGTCTTTAGCGAAATGAAATGGAGTACATGGGTATGATTCTGACCTCGTTGTCGTGGAATACGCACTGTAGAAGGTTCATGCAATTTTACTGTACCGGTAGAGACCCATGATGTCAAGCCCACTCTAAGCTGGAGGCCAACCCGACCACTAGATCAGGTACGAGTACAAGCAACGAAGCATTCCCCTTTCGCTGTCAATGGATTTTCCCTATCCCCGTGGATGGTGGATGTTTTCCTTTTTAGTGTTAAGTTGTTGGAGCAAAAAAAAAAAAAAAAAAAAAAAAAAAGCACGGGACCTAAACCGGACCAGCCACTGACGTCGTGAACTGGATCCTACTCTACATAGAAAACTCAACAGAGGCGGATTTACGGATGGAGCCGATTCAGGTAATGGGAGGCGGGGAGGAGGGGCATAATTTCCAATTTCGAGGGTTAGGTGGAATTGAAAGGGAAAGGGCTAGACCCCTCAGCCTGGCGGGCGCATACAGTTGTGAATGAATGTTCATCGATACTACCTTAGGCATGTTAGTGTCAGTGACTTGTCGACCGCTCTTTCGGGGGGCAATAGGAGATCTATGGAAAAGTGTAAAAAGTATGGGAGGTGAATCTGACAGGGGCAGGTTCGGATCATGTACAGCAGAAAAAGAATAAGGGGTTCAAGGTTAAGAGGTTTGATTGGCGATGGACACTGGCCAAGTGAAGAAAAGCAACGCAATGGACAATTGCGGATTTCAGCCTCAGGCTCGGGCGGGATTCTGCCCGGATCTACAGCTGGATCTTACTCATCGTTGTAAAGAATGTAAAAGACCTTGCTGTACTGTATGTACCCTGTAGGATTTGACGGATCTCAAGTCTTCAGCACCTAACCAAAAGTCGTCACGGCAAAGTCGGCAAGTTTAAATTGATTTCCAATCTCAAAAGTGTATCGAGATACTAAGGTTGTACAGTGTGCTTAGGTTTGGAACAAAGGGCGGGATTATGCTTCTTGTGATTGGTACCTGCCTTAGAGCCTATGAGATGAGCTGGAAGTATAGTCACGCCAACCTACGGAGGACTTGACCTTGAAAATGAAATGATCTTAACCGCGGTCAAAAGTTGCGGTGTTCACGGAAAAGAAAACCTGGACACGCACACACGGTAAAAGCAAATTGAACCTTAAATCCTCAAGCGAGGAAAAAGAAATGTAACGAAAAAGACCTGTTCAACTTTTGACTACCCAAGCGGAATCCCGATCACATTAGGCGGATCTTTTCGGCAGCACGGAAACCAGGGTCTAGGCGTCAATTCGCCCGGATGCGGCAGTGGATTCGATCGCGCCATGCAGGTGCGCCTTTCTGCCGTGGAACCCGGGTGAGGGAGGGGGAGGGGGGACATGGGGAGGGAAGGCCGACGACGTCAAGATCTGAGAAAGCATACCTACAGCCTGGAGGGGAAACCGAATAGATGATTCATGAAAAGTATCGTGGACTGATCGACGGGCTCGGGGAAATGGGAAAATGACTGGATCTGGGGAAATAGCAGCTGAGTGGACGAGGATTCATTTTCCTCTTTGGTGTTTACTCGACCATCACTTGTATGAATCACCAATTGAGTTTCCATTCAGACAGCAGGACCGGGTTGATTGAAGCTGCTGTCCCCATACCTACCGGTAGTCAGCCTGACCTTGTACGAGTACAATCTATGCCTCCAAAAAAACCTCCGACACATTGACTTCTGAGTTATGATTTTGTGCAATGAGGCCCGGCGATGATCAAGCCCGAGCCACTAAGTGACTTAGTGAGCTAGTCCCCTTCCAATCTATTTATACACAATCTCCACCTTGATTGTGCACAGATTTTTCAGCCGAGAGAGCCCCATCTCTCATTTTGTGCAGGGACTATCTTCCGGGGGGCAGGGGGGCAGGGGGCGGGCGGCCGGGCGCCCTGGGATTACTTTTCGCCTGTCTGTCGGTGTGACGAGGTGTTTGCTGTTGGCCTTGTCGCCTCAACAATTTGTATGTACAAGTTGTGTACTGTACGGAGTACGGTAGGGGGAAAATGGGAATTGTCGTTTCGCATCTGATTCAAAGCGTGTCTCGACCCGGAGATCCGATCAAGGCTCACACCCGCGCGCGCGC